AAGAGTGGGCCCAAAACGGATAAAGTAGATGCGGCCGAAAAGCGGATCTGCCTGCCCCAAGTAACCATGACATTCGATGAACTCAATGGGCTAATCAAGCGCAAAGGTATGGGTTGAACTTCTGATTTGCCAATTTGCCAATCCCTAAGCGGCATGCAGTTCTCCAATTAAACACTGAAACACTGATGCATTCAAGATCTAAGAACCCGGAACCATTTCATGATCGTTAATTAGTGCGCGCCGCATCGAAGCACTCGAAAGATCAGCGAAGCATTAAGAGTAGGCGCAGACCAGGTGCAAGTGCCTCCAGTTGGGTTTTAATAAGATTGGGGGGTATCAAAAGAAAATATGGTTGGGGGAATAGAAGTGGGGCTGTTTAGTAACATTAGTTTCCTACAGAAAACCACAAAGTAATCCTCCGAATATTTGAGGAAAATTCCTTAAGAAAACCTAGTCTAACCCAAGTCAAAACCATCCCATCCTCCATGCGGTTCCATATCAGGCGGCACGCCCATTTGCAATGTGGAAATGGATGAGCAGGGAATCGGTAGTCTGGTCTCCAAGCACCCCTCCTCAACATCCCTAGTGCGCCAGGCACGACGTCGGATTCGCACCAAGGAGAACCCCGATCTGGAGTTGCGTGCCCTGCAGTCGTCTTGCTCCGTAATTTCCAAGGACGTGCAGTATGCTTCCCTGAACTCCAGCTTGGAGTGCATGCAGCGAAAGCAGCCCAAAGTGTACTCCGGATCTGAGGAGGATTCGCCAGGGCCAGAAATCGAGATCACGCTAGAAGCCACAGCCATGCGCACATGCCGACGCACAAAGAGATCAGGTCGCTCCTCCCAGGTGAAGAGTAACACGGAGCCCATGCGCGCTTTGCCAATGTCAGATTTAAAGGAAAGCTTTGAGGCAATCAAGCAATCCATGGGGCAAGCAGTACTCCCAAGATTACAGCTGGAAAATACGAGGCAGGACGACGAAACGGAGGAGCACGATGAGGATACTTATGCCAGTGATCTAGCCGCAGAACCCCATGATTCCGCCCTCATAGCTCGCGCGATTGAGCTGATAGAGAGGGCTCGATCCAGCTCAAGTACCGTACCCAATCCTAAGGAAGTAGATACACACAGTGAAGATGATGAGGTTCAGCCCGAGGCGAAGCCGGAACTCAAGCTGCCGCCTTTGACCAAACAAAATAGCAACGTCAGTCGCCGTTTGTTCCTTGAGGAGAACGAAAATGGTACTATGTATTTGAAGTCGGCACCTAGTACCAAGCGTCGTTCAAATAGGTTTGTATCCCAGATGAGAGCCAACTAATCCATCCAATCCTCCCCAGACGACGGCCAGACAGAGCACTAATGGGCGGTTCATCATAGCATATATCATGTGTTCCTAACCGTTTGTAATCTTTATTTTAACAGCGGCCTGGGGGACAAATACGATCCCTTCCTCTCGGCCAAGCGGCAGCTGGAGGAGCTTTGCTCACCCAGCACGCCGCCGCCGGAGGAGGAGGTGACCGCCACCAAAGCTACCAGAACACTGACACCCATAGTAACCAGCACTCCTACAACCACACCCAGTATCGCCATGACCACTTCTTTGACCACGGCAGCCGGTAAACACGCACAGGTTACCCAAAGAACCACTCCGGCCTCCAATTTCCGACGTACTTCATCGCTGAGAGGGCCGCGTCGTACGCCCATGCTTAACAGCCGACCACTGTTCGCCAGCAACTATCGCCCCACCATTCAGCGTGGTCTCTCCGATGAGGGGCCCATCTCCACCAACTTCCTAAAACCAGAGGAGTTCGACGAGATGCCGGTGAGAGCAGCGTGCGGCAATGACTTCCACAGCCCAAGAGTCGTGCGCCGGGATACCAGCGCCTCCAACCGAAAGCTACAGCTTAAATTGCCAGTGGGTGGCACCAGTGAAGCCAGCAACGCACCTTCCTCTCCTCAGGCCGCCCGCAGTGTGGCCAAAACGGACTCCCTGGCTGTGTTCCTCAAGTACGAGCACGAGCTGGAGCAGCTGAATGCCAAGGCGGCTGAGCTGGCAGCCGCCAGCCAGTTGACCAGCAAGGAGCAAAAAGACAAGAGCAACACGCTGAGCAAACAGAACTCTGCCAAGAGCTTGGGACACAGCACTCCCACCCAGTTGCCACCATTAACTCCAACAATGTTGCCAGTTTCGCCAGGTTTGGCTAAAGAGGTCAACTATCCACCGGTGGCCACTCCCCTCCGATTGGAGCCCATCAGCAAGGTGGCGAAGAACTCGACGGCTCCCCTTACGCCCATCAAGCTGGAAAGCATCTTTGGACCGCGGAGAGAATCGGGTCTAGGGTCGGGATCGGGATCGGGATCTGTGGCAGGCGACTACATAGATCCGAAGCTGATAAACGCCTTCGATAATCTGCATGTAAACAGTGGCATATCCTCGGATGCCAGCTCCACGCCCCAGCAGTTGTCCCAAGCCCGGAGCCGGAGTAGCTCCCAATCCACCATCACCCACGAACGCAGGCAGTCCGGGGAGGCCAGGAACCTGCTGAAGCGGAAGATGCGATTGGGACGGAACCAGTTTCTGTACGATGCCTCGCCCGAGGATGCGGATGCTTCATCGGGCTGTTCGGCAGACGACGAGGCCAACCGCTCGTCCATGGAGTACGACGAGCAGTGTTGGCAGCAACAGCAGAAACAACTACTGGCGAATCCACTGCCGCTGGTCATGCCCATGGTGCACAACGCCATGCCCACCTTCGATGATTTTGACTTTGAGGAGTTCCTCTCCTCATTCGAGAACGAGAATGATGACGAGCAATTCCCGCTGTTCAAGGACTGTCGCGAGTTCCTCATGAATCGCTCGACGAGCAGACAACGCTCGTTCCAGAAAGCGACTTCGACGCAACAGACGACAGCCACACAGATCACACCACTCAGTCACCAGTCCAAGATTAAAGACAATCACGCCCACAGGTCTGATCCAAAAATGCCCGAGGACAAACTGCAACGGCAGCAGTCGAATTCCTTAAGTGCCAGCAGCCAGGAGGAGAAGAGCCGCCTGGAGATGGTGAAACGGCCAGTCGACGAAGATGAAAAGAAGCGAGAGATTTTCATCAGCATTGAGACGGAGGCCAATGCCCAGGGGCGCTCACCCATTTCGCCCGATTCACTGCGCCACATGGTGGGCAACGCCCAGACGCCCATCGATGTCCTGCACATTGAGAACGGAAACGAGCCGGAGCACGCAAGGTTCAGCAAGATCAGCGACACGGAGGACGCCGAAGATGAGCCCAGGGATCAGGCCAGCCAATCCACCAACCGGCTGGCCACATCCTCGAGCGGCTCCGCATTGGCGCCCAACGTGCAGCTGAACAATGCCAAGAATCTGATCCACCAAATGCATAGCGAGTTCCGACAAATGGGCGAGGAGGCGAGTGCCTCCATGCGGCGCCAGCTTATCGCAAGCAACGCCGGACGAGGCGAGGAACAACAGCGCTCCAGCAGTGGGCTCCCTGCTCCAAATCCAGCACACCAGGTTGCGGCAGCAGGCAGCTCGCCAATGACTCCTTCACCGTCGGCAGACTCAGATGAGTTAAGCAGTCTGGATGGCTATACCATGTCCTCGTCGCAGGGTTCACGTCGCGGAGCCAGCTCCAAGCTGAGCTCCGATTCAGCATACGGAAGGTAAGGTCTTTTGCAAATGGTAATATGCACTATATTCCATTATATGCCATTCCATTGCAGCAGCAACTCACCTTATAGCTTGTCGCGACAACGCTCCTCTGAACTCCAAGCCGGAACACAACGTTTCCAGGGACTGATGCGTCCGCATACGGCCAGTGCCAAGCTGCCCAGCTGCATGATCGATGCCTCCACGCAGGCACACACTGATTATGGAACCCTGAAGGCTCGCCAGCGTCTCTTTGCACCAGAATGTGGAAACAACAATGGCGATGGAGGCGAGTCGTACAGTAGCGGATCTGAACACTCTTTTGCAGCACATCCAAAACCGCAGCAGAGTATCAACTACAACTATCAACAGCCACCGCAGCAAGAGCAGCAGAAGCAGCAGCAGCAGCAGATGCAGCAGCAGCAGATGCAGCAGCAGCAGATGCAGCAGCAGCAGCAGCTACAGATGCAGCAAATGAACTGCAATTACAACTACCAACAGGAGCAGCAGCTACATCAGCAGCAGCAGCAGCAGCAGGCTCAAGTCCCAACACCAACAGCTTACAACACCAACAACAACAATGTACCGATAACACCCACCACATCCGAGAACTCATTGATGAGCAACTCGTCCATGAGCTCAAGTAAGAAGTCCAATTACTGCTACGAATGTGGCTCCAAGTTCATATTCGAGACCGCCAAGTTCTGCATGGATTGCGGCCTACGGCGTGCTGAACTTTAGATTAACCCACGTAGCCATTGTTTTCAGTAGCTGACACCACTCACAAAACACAAAGTCCTCAGAAACCGAAAAATGAACACTGACCCGGAATGAACACGTCCTCCTGGATCGGTTTTGGGATCTTAAATATACCAAATGTAGTTGTTAAACGCAAACACTTTGCGGAGAGCGGTAACACCGCCAATATACCGAATAATACGAATAATATATATTTTAATACAAACTAAATCAAGCAAAACAAAGGTTTTATGTCGAACAAACTTTAATTAATCGAACTAAACTTGGCATTTCAATCGTAAACATTTTTCTCATCTTCAGTTGCTTAAAAAACGAAAAGGCAAGCAAAAAACGCAACTCAACGTAAAAAAAAAAAAAAACACTTTAACAAAGTTGTTGATTAACAAAGACTGAACAAATTTAAAGGATAGAGCGTTAAAAAATGGAATAACTATCGCGACAAGTGCAGAACTATTTTTAAACATTTTTTCAATACCTAACGCAGCAACTCCATTGTATTTGTATTTTGTAATCGTTTTACTAATTATATAGACACTGCTTAAATATATATAAATATATATGATAAATCCGGATTCGCATCACCGATTTGGTTGAATATAAAAAAATTAAATTTAAACGACGATTTTGACTTAACATTCATGAGAACACATCCGTTTGAATTTCATTGGTCCATTTCTTACACAAAGCTTGAATCAAATGTTTTCCTTTCTCCATTTGCAGGACACCAAATGGAATATCTTGGGTATTCTTCTTCGTAACTTAATCTATGACTGCATACTTGTTTTCAGAAACTTATATTAAAACATAACAAAAACTTCAGGTTTACGGATGGCATAGCTTGGTGCTGTCTGAGCATCCAATAAATTAGATTTGGTTTCATTACATCTCTTCTAGAGGTTCATCTTATGGACACGATAATGCCTTGAACTTTTCGTAGTCTGTCATTTTCAACTTAGCCTACTTATACAACTTATACATAAGTCTTACAATTTCTGCAGTTTCAGAATGGATTCAGCGAGCTGGTCCTGTTCATTGTTGACCTGCGCTTTTATTTTGTCAATGTCCTGTGGCATTCTGGCAGACCAAGGAGTAAGCTCCTCGTCTTCCGAATCACTGCTCGACTCATCTGATTCATCATCCTTAATGTCAGGCAGGATATGCGGTTTCCGCTTATTCTTGAAAAGATATGTGCCTTGTTTTTTGCACTCCTTGATTATGAACTTGAAGTCCCGATGATGACGAAGGGTGACCGGATTACCAACCAGGATCAGCAGTGCCTTAGCTCTTGACAAAAGAACGTTCACACGGCGGGGATTACGCAGGAACCCCATATTTGCAAAGGATCGAACCAAGTTTGCAATGATTACAGTCTTTTCGCGACCCTGATAGCTCTCCACGCTGCCAACCTCCACATTTGATAGTCCCCGGCTTTGGAGTAAGTTGGTAACTACTTTACCTTGAGCGGAATACGGCGCAACAATGCCGATGTCCTCCTGTCTCACTATCTTTCCGCTAATCAGGCGTTTTACATACCAACATGTTACTTCTGCCTCCAGATTATTGTAAGAGCTAGTGGTGTGCTGCTCCCGTTCGGTTACTCCATGAGTAGCCTGAAATATTATCGGGAAGTTTGGATTGGGCAGAAGGCTCCAGTTGGCCGCTATATTCACATTCCTAGCAGGTGCCTCAGAGATCAGCTCTCCGTTATAGTAGAGCTTATTAAACAGGCCCAAAATCTGCGGATGGGATCGATAATTACGACGCAGACGCGTCTGCAGGGTACGATCGTAGTTTCCGTTTTCATCAAATTTATAGCAATCGGATCGAAGAAGCCTCTCCATTAGAGACTGGCTTAATCCCAGAGATGCAGCTCGATTACTCTTTATCACGGCGCAGAGCTGCTTATGATCTCCGGACAGGATCACATGACAATCCGCTGTCTGCTTTATACCCATTATACCGATCAAAGTTTCGGGTTCAGTTGCAGCGCCCGCCTCATCGATGAAAATGTGGGTGAAGAAGTTGTACTTGGCAAGGTTATCAGAGACCAAGCGACCCACCGTGCAGAGCGTGGCCACCGCTATGCCGTAATCCAGAATACATGACCCTCTAAGATGCTTGTAAATGCGCTGCGAGCAATTGGAATAATTCAGCAGCAGTGACGGCACGGACTTAAGTCCCTTGCTATAAATGTTGCGCGAGTACACGCGGATCAACTGGTGATCCTGCATTGGGAGCTTCTGCCGAGCAAAGTGCTTCTGAAGGCGGGGGTTGCTTTTTATATACTCGCAAAGCTTCAGGGCGATTGTGTCGCAGGCCGAGTTCGAACCGGCGGTAACGAGGATACGGCTTTGTGGTTTTTGAAGGCGCAGCTGTAGAATGGCCTCCACAATGGTAGTGGTTTTGCCAGTGCCTATAAAACGCAGTGCAGGAAAAAAAGGGATATGTAAAAATCTAAATATTTTACTTTAAGAAAGATGCTTAAGATGTGCACCCTAGCACAATTTTACTTAGTCAAATTCAGCATTAGTACCTGGTGGTCCAAACAGGATGTATGGTCCCTGAGTACTTGGTCCCGCAACAATGCGTTGTACGGCCTCTAACTGCTCAGCGTTGGAAAAGATGGTCGAATTCAGAAGGGAGAGTGAGTTCGGAGTAGTTGGCTGTTTTAATGGCTTCGCTTGCATCCAACTGGGCAAATTGACGCCTAACCTCTGGGAATTGTACACCATCTGCGTCAGCCAGCTGGGAAAGGGAAATAGGTAGCGGCGCACCAAGGGGCTCTCCTGGAGCAACTTGAGTGCGCGGTACATGTATCGCATTGAAGTGCGTTTGGAGCGGATTATGACGTAGAAGCGCTGGCCCACCAAAACCGCTTCCTTTGGACAGTTTCCGCGTGTGAAGCGCACGTGAACAGTGGTGCGGCTGACCTGCTCCACACCGGCCACAAGCCGACGCATCGGATGGCCCGACTCCAAATTTTCGTGAGGATGCGGAAGCAGGGCCAGCACCAATTGTTCAGGTAGTGGAGATGCCAACAGGCTGGACTTGGGCACCAGCACCACTTCGTCCAGATTGGGAGCAACAATGTCCTCTGCATTCACTAGCTTGCTCTTAAGAGGAATTTTATATAACAGCTTGGAGACCCGCTGCACAGACACATCAGCCTGGATCAGTTCAGCGTACAGAGCCATGACGGACAGGTCCTCGATGGTTAGCAGCGTTTGCATCACTGAGCATACATTATAAAACTCCAAGCGTTTGGTATGCAAAAACTCGGCGAATACAATATTATTTACGGTCAAATCTGTGTCCGTGAATTTAGTGGGCAGAGCCTGCACCATTTTGTTACTTGGCGGATAATATGGCAGACTGTGCATCAGGGATAAAAGTCTGGGAGAGGATTTTAATCAGTTTGGTGATCTATGTATGTACATGCGGACCAAATACTCACTTCTGTTGTTTCCCCAGAGGTTTGCATTGCTTGGCTTTTGGACACAAAATGAACGTAGTTTTATCATTTTTTTCCAAAGGAACTCCATGGTGAGCTATACTCGATAACTGTCGATCTAACTGAAATCTCCAGAAGTATAGTCTCATATTGACGAGTTTTTTATTTTAAACACTCACCGATTCCAAATTCTTAATTTCGTACATTGTTTGGTTGCTAAAAGTCAGTCACACAGATTTAACCACATACATTTAGACGAAGACGAGGAGAACTGCGCCGCTTTTTGGAGAAAAACCAATTCGATGAAATTAAAAGTTCCGTTAGTTTTCTAGAGGCGGATAATTTGGCGCAAAGCTTGCGCGTTTGCACTCATCGATATATCGATAGTCATCGATAGTCACTCTGCTGAGCAGCATTGTTCAGGCGATAACTGGATTTGTACCATCGCTAATATCTTGAGATCTGTTTACAAAATAGAATCGGCGTAAATGGCCGATTCAGATTCGAACGAGGTTCTAATTGAGGAAATAGACAGCAACGATGTGCCGGAGAACGAACTGGAGCAATTCCAGGAAACGGAGCCGCTGCGCGTGGTGGACATCATCGACTGCGACGCTGATGGCGAGCGGCGCTGCTCCTCCGCGGAGGACGAGGAGGAGGGTGCGCTGATTAAGCGCTATGTGCAGGGTGTCCAGTGCCTGGAGTTCCCGGACTTTTGCACCAAGCTGGAGGCTAGCGACGAGGATGAGGAGGGTAATGAAGGGGAGCCCGGGGAGGCGGCGAGCAGCGTTGACAAGCCCAGCACTTCGGCGCAGGCGAAACCGCCGCAGGAACAGTCAACTGGTGGTGGTCGTTCTGGGGGAGGTGGCTTTCGGAAAAGCCAACTCAGCACCGCTCTGCAAGGACTGATGGGCGAGGCGAACCTGAGCTTTGCGTACTGCCGCTATGAAACAGCAGAGCGCATCTGCATGGAGATCATCCGACAGAATCCACTGGCCAGTGAACCGTTCTACACGCTGGCCGAGATCTATGAGAACCGTGATGAGGTCAAGTTTCTCAACTTCTCCACATTGGCGGCCCACTTGAATCCCCAGGACCGGGACATGTGGATACGGGTCTCCGATCTGCTGGTGCAGCAGGGAAACTTGGCCCGTGCGCGACTTATCTACACGAAGGCCATCAAAATGCTGCCCAAAGTGTACCAGCTCCGGCTGCGAAAGGCGCAGCTGTTGCAAAAAATGGGCGAAACCAATGCCTCCATGTTTACGTACTTGAAAATGCTTCCCTTGATGCCGCCAGATGAGTGGAAAATGTGCCTGAATACGGCCAAAAACGTGGCCCGGTACTTTCATGTGTTGGAGAAGCACTCGCTTGCCCTGGAGGCCATGGAGGGAGCGTACAGTGTTTGTGGGGCGCGATTTAGCCTGGAGGATATCAACATCTACCTGGAACTGCTGATCCTGAACAAACAGTATGCCAAGGTTCTTCGGTGCCTGCGGGAGCGCACTAACTTTGAGTTGGAGAACGACCAAGAGGAGAGTCTGGAGCTAATATACTTCTGCGAGATCCCAGATGACTATGTCCCCGAGCTGCGTGCCAAGCTCTGCGTCAGTCTCATCCACATGCGGGCTCACCATCTATTGGGCTACCTTATCCAGAATGTCCAAGAGCACATCACTCTGACGGCGGATCGAGTTGAGCTATACATGGACATCACCGAGGCTCTGATGCAAGAGCACAAGTACGCCGAAGCCATTGCGCTGATGAGTCCCATAACCGACGGCGACACCGTAGAGTGCCCGGCATTCGTGTGGCTGAGGCAGGCCGAGTGTCTTCGTCAGCTTAACCGGACCAACGAGGCCATTCAGAGCTACGAGAGGGTGGTGCAACTGGCGCCATTCTGCTACGATGCACGGTTCACCCTCTCCGCTCTGCTGAAACAGCAGGGCCGGCACGAGGAGGCTGTTCAGGCATTGGAGCAACCGGGTGAGGCTGACGGCCAGCCGCTGATTGCCCGTCTGCTGTATGAGAGATGTGTGATGCTACAGCAGATCGGGCGCATTGAGGAGTTCTTGGATGTGGGATATGCCCTGCTCAGTCGGCACTCCATCAAGCTGTACAACCGCGAGGAGATGATGGCGGCCGCCAATGGAGGCAGCGCTTACAATTCGGAGAGCCTCAAGACCATCATCCAAATGAGAAGCAAGGCGGTTGACAGCTCTGCAGAGCAGGATATTCAGGTGAGAAATTCGCATAATAATACATATTTGCTACATTTAAACCAATTTCCTTGAAGGATCCTGCAAAAAATGCCGCCAGCGAGACCTCCGACCTGACCGTCAAGGATGAATTTGATCTCTTTCGGGAGCTTGTGCGTACGGCTTTTAAGCATGGCATGCACAGCGCCGCTGAGAAGATCTGCTTTGCCATGGTGACCACAAAAAGATTTACATACTACCATCACGAGATCGAGAGAATTATGGTACTGACCTGCTATTACAACGACGACTGTGCCATAGCCTTCTCGTATCTGCGTGAGCTTATCGCCAAACAGCCCAGCCAGACAACGCTGTGGAACATGCTTTCGCTGATGATACAAAAGGGTGACGAAGTGCGTTATTATCGCTATATGCGGCGCCTTATGCACCGACATCCGGTGGATACCAAACCGATGCGAATCTTCCAGGGCCATTATCACCTCAACTGCGCATCTTTTAAGTATGCTCTGAACATCTACATGCCCATTCTGCGCGAGAATCCCGATCCCCTGGTGGCCCTCTGCATAGCCGTCGCCTTTAACCAACTGTCGCTGCAGAAGAAGGTGCTCCGCAAATCGGCGTCTGTGGCACAAGCCGTGGCGTTTGGCCAGCGCTACAAGGAGTTACGATCTGCCGGCCAAGAGTTAGCTGATTGTGCCGCCCAGCAGGAGATCTTTTACAACATCGGCCGTATTTATCACCAGGCCAACATTCTTCACCTGGCCGTGGAGTACTATGAAAAGGCACTGGCAGTGCCCGTGCATCCGCTAATTGCGGAGCACGAATCTACCCTTGGTCTGCAGCATGAAGTGGCCTTCAACCTGCACCTCATCTACCGAGCCAATGGAAACAAGTGGAAAGCGCGCCAATATCTTATGCGATACTGTGTGGTTTGATCAGCGGCGTTCATGAACTGTTACTCGACTATTAGGTTTAATTATTGTAAATAATTTGGTTTTATAAGCACGTTTAACAAAACTAGCATTTCGCTTTCGTATGGCTAAACAGACTTTTTTCGTCTCTTCCGCAAATGGATTGTAATTATTACAATGTTACACTTTCTGCACATATTGAAATGAAAAATTTATAAAAGGATCCTTTTCGATTACATCTTTACATGTAAAGATACATGTATCTTTAGCACTTTTACCTGCTCTGGAAACATGAACCCGTTTCCATAAATTCAGGAAGCACAATGGATTTTAAAGCGGGACGCGATGCTCGTAACTGAAGTGAATGCTTAGTAATGAAATCAAGCGTTGGTCGTACGACATATGTATTTATAAAGTTTATAACGGGAAGTCCCTTTATATGCATGCCTTATCAAATATTTCAAGTGCAGTCGATGCCCATTCGGATTTCGAGTTTTGTATTAAATTTTCATAGTCATTACATACATTTCTGTAATGGTATAGAATTTATAGCTTAACAATGATAACACTTATTTGATGGCTAGAATGAAGCGTAGTCATCCCAAGGGGTTGATCTTTGGGATTTCCTAATCAAACTCCATATGATTATTTTGATTCATATTTTAGTGACTGTCAATTCAATATATGTATAATATAGTATAATTTTTTGTTTAGTACTAAACATACCGCCTAATAAAAAAATGGCTACAGTTTCTCGAATAAACTTTATTAAGAAAATGTCTCTTTTGACTCCAGTGGAGTAACATTTACTATAAAAATGATGAAGAAAGTAGCGCCTAACACGCCGGCATGGAGCAAGGACGTGACTTAACCAGGCGCTTGGAGCACGGCTGACCACCATTCTGGGGTTCGCTGACCACGTAACGATGGCTCTCGGAGACTCCGACTCCGCAGCTAACGCTGCAGGACGACCAGGCGGACCAATCCGACAGGACGCAGGCCGTGGGCTGATGCGCTCTTGAGGGATAAGGCGATCTAAGCACATTGCACGTATTCAGACAGTCGTTCTCCGTGAGGAAGTTGTTTTGGTTGCCAAGGCATCCTCCGTATCTGAAGGAGCTGCAACGCTGGGTCTGAGGATCGTAGGCATACCTCATATATGAGGCTAGACAGCGACCCGCATCCGGTGGCTGTACACAGATTTCCTTGGCCTGTTCCGCGCTTATGTGACAGTCCGTGGGATTGACGCACTCCTTCTGCTGATGCAGCTCCATGCGTCGCGTACAGTTCTCCTTATCGGGTCCGTTTTCCAGCAGAACCACCCGAGTGCGAATGGTAACTCCCCGGCCGCAGGTCGGGTTGCAAGGACTCCAGTCGGTCCACTGGGTGATGGGACATTGCGGATCAGGAAGTTCCACCTGCTCATACGTACAGTCCGGCCGCATGCACTTATTCTTCTCCACTACGGTGATATGGGGGCATCGCTTCCTTCCCAAGGAATTGACAAAGCCGCGCGTGCGCATGGTGATGCCGATGCCACAGCTGGCGGAACACTCGGACCACCCGCTCCAGGAAGTGGTCTTGCAGAGACCGGCTCCCTCGCCATTGCTGTCCACCAGGGACTGCGAGTTGGCCAGGTTCTCGCCCTCATCATCGTCTCGATCATTCGGTCCTGTACCATCGGTACATTCGGGTGTGGCGGCCACGCACATTTCCTTGGACACCAGTTGGCGATCGCATTTGTTTCGAGCCGCCGCCGCGGGATACAGATATTGTCTGCTGCGCATGCGGATTCCCTTGCCGCAACTCACAGAGCAAGCACTCCAGGCGGAGTAGTCGCTCAATCGGCATTCGGCTGGAAAACGATTGATTAGATGGAAACGATGGTTTCAAGCAGACGCAACCCACCTCTGGTGTCCTGCTCCTCTGCATCATCGGACACCTCCAGCTGAAGAGCCTGCAGGAACTCATCATCGCAGTTCCGAGAGACAATCTTCTCACGTCGTAGGTACAGCTTCGCAAGTGGAGTCATCTCACGGCTCTTGGGGTTATAAAATGGAGCCCTAGGATCCTCGGGATACATGGTGGTGATGCGATACATCCTTTCCGGAGGTTGCGTCTCTGAGTTGGGTGACTACCAAGAAAGATCCATTTAATATTTAGCAGATGAAATATCAATTGAATCTTACCATATAAGAGATGCCGTTATCAGTGCCCGCATCCCATGGAAACAAATCAAAATCCATGGACTCCTTCCAGCTGCAATCCGCAGTGCACAGATCCAGACCACTAATGCCTACCACCCAATCGGGGGAAGGACCAAACATGGACACTAGCGATACCTTCGGGTGCTTGCGATCCACTCGGAACTTGGAGGAGGTGTTCTGGTTGACGTTCGGGTACCACAACCCAGCGGCCTTAATCAGAGTGCGCAACTTGGGCCCGTTCGCACGCAGCTCCGTTTCCAGAGCAGCCGGAGAACCCCACTCCGCTAGAGAACGGAATCCAGCGGTGGCTATATGGTTCTCGCCCCAAAAAGAGAAGTTCGCCGCGTGCGAGGCGCCAATCACGTCAGAGAAATGGGTTAACCAGATGGCGAACGGATAATCCTTGGGGTGGGTTTCGTTTGACCAGATTCCCTCGAAAACGAACTGAAATGGGAAGAAAATTAGTTATGTCTCGGAAAAAATAATCTGTCTTCCTGACTTACGCTGTATTTCGCTTCATCGCAGGCGCAGCATTCCTTTTGAGCAGCAGCTGCATCAGGCTTACGTTCACAGATCACGGTGGATAGATTGCCATCGTCGGCGAACCAGGCTCTCGGACCCTCGTAGACCATTGCTGACAAGGAGACACAGCCAGAGCCCGACTCTGGGGCCACCCACATTACCTGGACTTCTGTTTTGGGCAGGTCGTCCGCCTCGGAAACTGTGTTCACGCATCGGTCGTTGAACTGGGTCAGGGAGTCACTAAACAGCTGAAAGCGGCCCACTCGCCGGGGACTAGCTGCCTGGGGTCGTCGAGCGCCAGTGTGCGCCTCCGCAGCAATGGTAAAGTGGGTGAAATGCTGGACTTTCAAGTGAGTACGGGATCCAAGTAGAAGTACTGTCAAATATTTCAAATTTAAATTTCGATAGAAAAACTACGTATCGATTAAAAGAAATCGATGCCATTATTTCTAGCTCTGTAATCGACACATTTCAGTACCTATAGTTATCTCGCTCTATCAGCCCTCTTTTAAGACGACGCGCGATTGTAATTTGTTAATATTATTTAGTTTTTAGTTCTGTAATTTTGATAATGTCTGCGTTTCTGGATAAGCTATCGGGGAGCCAGTGCGTTAGCCTGGAAAAGTGCGGCGATGTGGTTGTCTCGACCAACGACTGTATGATTGCACTTTACTGTCACTTCTGCCGGGACCTTTTCACACAACTGCCGGAGTTCTTGAGACACCTCCAGGGCGCCCATTCGGATGTGCTGCACTTCACCAAGGAGCACAATGTGTACAGCGTGGAGGAGTTGATGTCTGGTGAACAGGACGATGCCCAGGAGGATGCCCACTCGGCGGGGCACAACAGTAGCAGCGGTGACTCCAGGATACCGGCGAAATCAGAGGATTCAAGGGCCATCGATGCGTCCGAGGATAATTCGGACAATAGCCCAGTAAAATGTAAGCATATGGTGGCATATCTTTATAAATTATCGCTTAGCGTATTACCTAATCCGCAGCTGAACAAAAAGGCATGCAGAATGAAATAAACCTTCTGGCAGAAGTGACAAACATTTTATTGCAAAGCAAAGAGAGGGAACACATTAATAATGAATCAAAACCCGAAAATGGCGGATTCAATGGACCCTGCAAGAAGGCTAGTAGCGAGAGCAATTCTCTGAGAATATGCGATCTAAAGAGTCATACTATTGCAAGGACTTCGAGAAAGCGAATGAGCATGTTAAAGAACCGCATCCTACGAGTTATTGACAGCGATGTGTCTGCTAAGCGTGAAATGAAACCGTCTGAGCCCAACTACATACTCCCTATAACTGAGACCATCCAAGAAGACAACATACCTAAAATATGTTTTGAAACTCAGCCTAAGCCCATACCGAGCTCATCTAATTTAAGTGTAAGAAAGTCTTCTTTATCAGAGCCAAACGTCTCATTGGCGTGTACCAATTATGCCGCGAAAAAAACAACGCTTACCATACCTAAGCTACTGAACTGCACACCAAAGTCCAATTTACCTTGTCAGCAATCTCAGGTTTATTCCGATTCAAATGGGAGAAGTGAAACTTATCATATCTCCAAAGCAACTAGTCAAGGATCAAAAGAAATGGAGTCATTCCCTGTAAAAATAACCCAAATAGATGTTTTACCACCACTTATATTACCTGAAACTTCAACTACGCCCAATCAAAAAGAGCGTGTCAATGCCCTAGTGGAGAATAACACGGTGAATTTATACACCGCCCAAAATCTGCCCAAAGAAAAACCTAAAAAGTTTTTCAAAAAGCGTGGCGAATTATGGATGAAAAGTGAAGACAGTCCTAGCAAAAGTGTAAAAATAACAAAGTACAGGGGAAACCCTATTATAGTAAAACGGGTGCAGACCTCCAGTGCCAAATCTAGTCCATGCAAAACCCAAATACGATCTAATGACAAAACGAAATGTTTTGCTTCTGAGTTCAACAGCACAAAGATTCGCAAATTAAAGATGGAAAATTCCATCGCCCTTAAGAAGGAGGACCCCTGCTCCAATAAAAGTATCCGTTTAAGCAAAATGGCAACAATAAGCAGTTGCGAAATATTAAAAGTCGTTGGAGTAAGCACTTAATATAATTCACTGCACATTTCACATCTCATTTCTTAATCCATTTTAGTTGCCGGCAATCACAGATCAAAAACTCGAGGATACATTATTGCTAGACGAGTTAGAAACGATGCGAAAAAAGGCAGATCAATTTAGCAAAATCTACAAGAAGTATGATTCTATTTGGAATTATAGGAAAATTTTCCCTCCCGGAAAACCTGAGTTTATTTCTCAGAAAATGTTCGCTTTAACTCGAGAAGTTAACGAGACAATGGGATGCAACCTGGCTAACAGCGCTATAAAAAGCATTATTAATCAGATTTCAGTTTGGCATTACAATATATATACCAAATGTATTGTCTTGGATACCATTTCGGAAACTGCCCGACATACTTTAAAGCTATTCTCGTTTTTGCCTGTTAGTTTTGCCTACTTTTGCAAGTGTTGCGACGATATTTTCACCTTAAACGAAGACTACACAAGGCATTTGGTTTCTCAGCAAGCCCGGTATCAGTGCACAAAATGCATTAAAGCATTTAAGTACCGGGGACACTTTGAGAAGCACTTGCAAAACGTTCATCCTTAAGAAACCATGTGCCATTAACGATTCGTTAGATTTCAATTTTTTCAACACTACATATGTATCTGTCAAAAAAGGATTCCAAAAAATGTTGATAACCAATTTTTGTAAAAAACTTTACAATTTGAATTCGATGATCTTTTCTAATAAATCACCACGTTTTGTTTACTAAATACGTTTCAGTTTCTTCATTATTACAATAATACTTAAAGCATTATCAAAATAGCAACTAGACTGATCAGATGGACCCCACCACCATCTGCTCTGGATTCTCTTATCATCTCAATGGCTTTTGCTTTTAGTTTTCAAGTGACATCGATGATTACGAAACCAGCTAGCTAGGTAGCTGACTTACAATTATATGTCTTGCCGGGCACATATCCGTTGGGTCCATCGGCCACAATTAATTTGTATCCATTGTCGCCGCGTGTGCGTCGACCGTGGTTCAAGTGGGTGGGCGCCCGGGGACATGCGGTGACCGTACTAATTGTCAGCCAGATCACTACGACGAGGCGGATGAGCAGCGGCAGCGATTGCCCCATCTCCAATGCTTCACTTGACGCGTTATCACTTGACTCGATTACCAAGCTCAGCTGCAGCAACGACCGCTTCAGGCAAGGCTCAAAAACAGACTAATCAAGCCGGAGAGGCGATAGAGCAATCTTTAAGTCGAGCGGTGACCCGATGTCGAATGCTTCGGGAACTCTGATTACAAGCATTACTCGTGAGATGGTCTTGACTTTCATCTACTGGCTCCTCGAATATTTTTTCTTTCGCCTCGTGTCTTTTCTATTCGGTATATATTTCGTGGTATAAATGTTGCCGTACAATTTACAAATAATATTACAATTATATATTTCCATATCATCGGTAACAGAGTTCACTATCGTAGTTTGTAGTTCATAAATTTGTAGGTTTGCTTTCCGCTCACGAAATAGTATGATTCGTGAGGTTGCGCCTTAGGAAACTCAACATTGGTCGAGAACATAGCAAATATACTGATAAATCAAACTTGGACTGATCACACAGTTGGCATTCGATCGATAAATAGGGAATACACGTGAGAACTATAAAGCATTTAAATCACAATTGCAGATTAAGTTAATACTAAAAGGTCAAAATAGGCGTTTCCCGGTGATCCAAGAGATCTGAAAGAGTAAGTTACATGAGATTATCGACTGTTTTTAAGCGCGGCTTCAGTATCTCACCTTTTGCAATGCTCCACCAGGGCAGTGTCACATATGTGAGGAATGCGTTGAGCGGCGTTGACTGCTGTCTTCTATTCTCCTTCCAGAAATGAAAAGACTGCGTGAAGCCTCGACTAGTCCACAGGGGATTGTAGGCGCCATCGTCGAGCTCTAAAAGTATATAAGGCACACCAAATCACTTTATGTCAGTCAAAGTTATTCAAATCCAAGTACATGCATACGGAATATATCAAAAATTATGAAATAGAGCCTAGGAGATAACCTTTTATTGCCTTTTTGGGCACATCACACCAGTAGTAGATGTTAGTGCCATCGGGTGTTCTGCGCTTGGGCACCAAATGCAGCATCTTGTTAATATGAGCCTGCTTGGCTGTTCTCGGAAGCGTAGCACTGGTGGCCTCCTCGTTGCCATTGGCCGCATCCAGCATGGGTGTAAGTTCCGTGGGCGATATCACGTTTGTGATATCACTTTGCTCGTTCTCATTGTTCTCGTCCGGCTGCAGCGGATGGTTCTCTGGCTCCACAGGCAAGCCGACACACTTTTCAAAACGTTTTGGCGGGGTCTTGGGGGAATCCACGACCGGCAGCTCTTCTCGTCCACGCACGCTAATCATTAGCTTGCTGTCGCTCTCACTGAGGATGACCATTTTGGCGGCTCCAACTGCTTCTGATTCACTACCATTTAGGGAGGTAGCATCATCGGCGATCTCGTACTCCTCCGATTTGGAAGTGTCGGGCCTTGGATTGTTATTATTAACAACAGCTTTCTTCTTAGCTGCATCAATCGCTTTGCCTTTGTCCTTTCCCTTATCCTTATCGCCACATTTGTCCTTGTCCTTCTCTTTGCCGGCTTTAAGCCGCTTCGGCGACATCTTGGCCAGAAAGTTGGTCGCAGAGCCGTTGACCTTCTGATTTGAAGACTTCTTATCGTTCTCCTTGTTTTTATCCTTTTCCTTCTCCTTGTCCTTCTCGAGATCCTTGGCTTTGGCCGTGCGCAGTCTTGGAGGTATGATCCTCTTAGTGGCTACCGGGAGACTGGTCCTACGATCAGCGGCACTCAGGGAGGCGCTCCTCGTAATGCTTCCGCCCTGTTGCTTGCGTTTGATCTCTGATGGTAGCCGGAAACTACTTCTTTTGCCCACGAGCAGCTCGCTCTCCACGCTCAGGATGCTGCTCTTGGGCTTGAGACGAGTGGGCCGCTTGTCGGGCATCTTGGCCAGACAGGCGGGCGACTCGTTGGACGGATCCTCGCAACTGGGACAGTATACTTCGGACATTTCCGGGGTGTCCGTGTTCTTGGCCGACGCCCAGCGCTTCTTACATTTTTTGCCACCAAAGCAATTGCAGCCCGTGGTTGAGATTTGTCCAGTGCCGCTGTTGTCGCCGGAAACTGTGACCTCCACGGCGGCACTCAATGGGGGCGGAGTAACAGCAGGAACAGCGGCTTCCGCTGGAGCAGAGGAAGTACCCTCACCAGGAGATTCTTGGGGCAACTTTTCTTGGTCACCAGTCGCGAGTTTGTGTGTCTCGCAGTTCGGATTTGGGTGCAGTTTTGCCGCAGAGGCCGAGAAAGCAGGACGTTGCTGATCTACAAGTAGATAGATCGGTTTTTCCGTTTTAAAAGCATATACATCGACACACATGTACAACCGAGGATCGGCCCAAGCAACTTAATCGGTAATTGGCAACAGAAAGCAGTGGAAATGATAAGCCAGAATAGGGAAACACAAATAAAACCTAGGGGATCGATCGATAACAGGCGGATGAATGAATGTCTAATGAATATACAGTCAAGCCACCAAACAATTTCTAATGGGAATTGGGAATTGGGAAAATGATCGGGACTACGGAATGCGGTGAACGATTCCCGTTTAAACCAAAATCCAGTGTCAAACAATAAGCCAAACGGAATATAATTTTGGTTGTCCTTAGTGTAGTTTTTGTCCTGCTTTCTCGGCAATGTCTGGTGTTCTCTTTATATATATACTCTGGAGTCGTTTTTAGGGGCACACTTAAAGTGTATATAAATTTGATAGTTGGAAGTTGTAAAAGGAAAATCAATGGAACGACAACACATTACGAGAAGTAAATCAGGAGTATGAACGAAAATGAAAGGAGCAAGCGGAAAAGCAGCATAAACTACGGCAACAACTGTAAGCAGTAATACAATTCTAAATATCATGCAACTAAAGGATGCTCAAATGAAAACGAAACTATGATAAAGAAGTAAATGTTCAAACTGACCGTCCCGCAAATCTCCAGCCTCGATCTCTGACACCTCGCTAGCTAGCGAGTCCAGTCCCTCATTCTCCGATCGCGCTTTGACTCCTACACTGGGACTGGTGCCACTGCCCACCATATCCTGGTTATTTGAGTTCTTCGTACGCCACCCGTAGCGTGAGAAGTTATTGAGATTGGCGCTCGGGTCGCTGAGTCGTCGTTGATGTCGATAGGTGCAATAGTCATCGTTCTCCTCCTCCCACTCGTCCCACATATCAGTGGCGCAGAATCCCGGCTCGCTGGTGGGTGTCTCCACACCGGATCCTTTTGGCTTGGTCACCGCCATCTCGGCGTGGCCCTTTCCCTGAGGTCCCTTCATCCGGACAAACTCACAGCGCGTTTGGACACCAGCACCACTGCTAAACAGGCCAAAGGACATGCGTTGCGCCACCTTGGAACTCAGACTGGATTGCTATGAAGCAAAATGGACAAGTTAGGATAGGAAAATACAGAGCGTATTTCGGATTGCTCTTACCCTGGCATCGTACACCTTTTTTAAGGCATCATAGCGTATGGACCCCAAGAAGATGACCCCTTGGACTGCTCCATCTTTGTCGTTGGCCACCAGCTCGACGCACACCATCTCCCCGTCGCGTACCAAGATGTCGCTGAAAACCTCGTCGAAATTATCGACCATGAAGCAGATGTGCGGATACGTGATTTCCTCGCCCTCGCCCTTGGTGTCCATCTTCCGACGACTGGGGCTTGCGTAGACTCTCTGCGAATGCCTTCTCAGCACTTGCAGCTCCTTGGGCGACGTCCTGGTACAAATGGCCAGTGTCAACGTGTAATCGAACTGATGAATGACCATGTTGAGATAAACCGTCTCCTCCCAGTCCACATCGGGATCGCCGATGGGCAGTTTGCGCGAGTCCTTGCGGAATACCTCCACCTCAGTCTGTTTAAAGAATACAATATGTTCAATAGGTTTTTGTGGTAATTCCTGATGCTTACCTCAAATTTTGGCATTTGGCGTGAGGAGCTCTTCACGTGCTTTTTGCGCACGAAGAAGAGCAAGTCGTCAGAGTCGATGCTGTGCACGGGCTCTGTCTGGAAGAGGAAGTGGCGCACAAACAGGTCCGTCCAGTACGTGGTGCCCTGTAGGACCACGAAACCGCCATCTAAAAGACATGGTAACATATGTTAAAGTGTAATTCCATAATGAAAAGAGTAAACCTTTTAAGCTTGAGCTTCAAAGTTATGAAATCCAAAAGGACAAATGGAAAAAGTATATACTTATGTATGTATATATGTATCTTATATAATTTGTAATGTAGAATTATTATGACCAAAGCGTGGCTAAACTTCTCGAATACAAACAATATAAAAGTACACCAGTAAGAAATGGAACGAATTAATTCCCTGAATCCATTCCATTAACCATCAAAATATTTAACTATTTAGATACAAATTAAAGAAAATTATTGAAATAGAAATTCTATTTGCAATCATAGTTCTAGGAACCTTATGCTTCTGCCCCATCTTATGGATTTAGAGGAATTGTGGGGAACTGGGGGATGCTGATGTTGACCGACAGGTGAACAGCTGTTTGCGGTTTTCCCATACTGCCATTTAAGCCGATAAAAGTAAAAGCCGCTTATGTAAAGGAAAACAAAGAGGTTGCCCAAAAGTGGGGCGGAAAAGCCACGCACACACACAGGCGCAGCAGGTCACACACAAGCACACACATCCTTGGGGGTTGCCCTGCGTGACAAATCGATAAAGTGCAAATGTAGACAAATTTTCCCTGCTATGTGAACCGAATCGGGGAGCTCCGGTGTCCGGATTAGGGCTGTACCCACCATCCTTGAGCAGCTGGCGCATCTCCTTGGTGCGCTGGAAGTTGATGTCCTCCAGGAGCTGCTGCAGAGGCGTCTGGGAGCCCTTCAGGAGGGCGGCGGCGGCACTGGCGAGGGCCATCCTAAAGGTGGATTTCCACGATTCCGCGCTTCCGGATGATGAATGTCGATGTAGAATGGTGAGTATTACTATTTCACAACGTCCAACACATTACGGCCTTTGCGGGGATGGCGGCAGCGGTGCGGGAACGCTACTAGTGCTGTATATATTGCAGCATTTGTTGTTGCTCCGCGGTTGGGAATTTTTTGCTGTCGCAGAATCAAGCGGCGTAGAGGAACACCTTATCACCACGGCACATGCAAATCGCAACTGAGCAGCAGACCCTCGGTTTTTCCCACTTGAGGGTTGTTTTATCCCTTATTTGAGGTGCATACCCCTCTGTATTATCAGTCATCAGCTGTTCCCATAATTTCACCGCTTCCTTATGTTATTTATTTGAAAAGGTCGAAAATTCCACGGTTAACTCTTTTGTCTAGCTGAGCTTTTATTGTTTAATGCACAAAAAGATAAATAACAATAAATAAACTCAGTAGTGTTGCAAAAGCTGTCAATTAAACGATAACAGCAAACTTACAGTTAATCGCACAACAAGCTCAATACAAGTTATCGAATTTAAATTCAAATAATACGTCAATGCAAACTCTGATTATAGAGATTTTAGAATCCCAAGAGGCTGACTTTTAGTTAAAGCTGAGAGTGAACCAATAAAGTAGCTTGTTACGTTCTCTACTTTCGGTTGATTGCTTTTGCCAAACTTTTATTTGAATTTAAGTTTAACTCAAGTAATATTGTATCCTCCTTCGGATTTAAATTTTAATTCAAAAAGTTGAATCTGTCAGCATTAATAAGTCATCAATTGGTATCAATGTGTATTGAATTCAAATACCAGTTTGAATATGAAAACTCGTAGATCTTACTGATTTACCACATCGTCATTAGATTCTCGAAGATTTTTCATATCATCCTGCAGCTCCTTTAGCTCTCGGAGCATTGTTCGCGTCAGCTGACCCTCTGGCGTGGCCAGTGGCTCAAATAGGAGCATTCGCAGAGACTCCCGCAGCATGACCTCAACTCGTTCCAATTCCGCCTGGAAAAAATTTCATTAAGGTAATATTAAGGAATAAATCCAGGACATTCCCACCAGAAGGTCATTGGCACTGTGCTCCATCTCCGTATACATCTTTCTGGCCAATTCGGCCTGCGTGTTGGCCAGCTCATAGAGGGCGATAGCCTTCAATCTGGAGATTCCAGGGGTTACGACCTTGAGTACCAACAATATCTCCTGGCACAAACGAATTTTCCGCTCATAGACCTTCTTATTTGGTCGCGTTGCTATATTCTGAAGGATCTGTCGCAATATAGAAGCGATATTTTGCTTTAAATCAAGCATTAGGAAATGATTGCGATGCAGAAGGCGACTCAACTTGGCCAAAAGGAGCTCCAGCCTGTATATATCATCCCTTGCGTGAAATATTTCCTCTTTAGCCCGCTCCAGCATGTTCGATACAAACTCCTGTTTCAGTGTATGCTCCGGATTTAGAAGGCACTGCCAAGTTCCCGTATTCGGCTGACGAACTATGTAGCCACCCGTGCAGGAGCAGTGGCTGCACATGAAACTGCTCATGTGTGTTCCTAGCTCGGTGGGATCCTGGCATCGCGCACAGGTACAGTCAAAGCACTTGCCCTCCTTCAGGATTTGGCGACGCTCCTCGGTGCCCAGGAGCACATTGGTGTAGCAATTGTAAAGGATCTCTCCGGCGGCTATAAATCGATTGGCGTAGACCTTTATACGTTTCTCGTCATCTATTGAGATGACCAGGTTGGGCATGCAGCTGTGGGCAAAGAGTCCCGCCCTACGATACAGTCCTCTCATGGCGCCACCTGACTCCGGAGCCCTTATCTCGTATGCATTTATGTCCAGGATGCCTAGAAGGCCCTGCACCAGGTCCTCATCCGCCGAGCCCCGTAGTTGTTTTAGCACTCCACCAGCATCTAAAGGAGCAAATGCGTGCTCCTGGTAGTTTTTCCATATATCTGTGCCTCTTCTAGTCGCCAGTTGGGACTCCATTTGGGACATTTCCTCGTACAAGGGCAGGGTTTCCTCGTGTTCTCTTAACAGCAGACATTTTAGAACTGGCTGGATTTCGGTGTGCTCCTTTCTCTGGAGCAGCTCCACCTGGTCGGCAGAAAAATGCATTTCAGCAAGCCTTCGGCAATCGCGTTCATCATGATTCGAGCAATCCTCACACAAAGCCAAAAGATGGCACTTTCTAAAGGGCTTACATAAGATTCGTAAATGAGTAACAAATATGTATGGAGTTCACCCACCTACAAAAACTCTGGGTTAGTTTAAAGCACTTGGAGCAGCGCCTATCACCCATTTGGGGCAAAACCACGATGGGATTCTCCAGCAGCAGAGTTTCGCCAGCCCGAAGATTACACAAGGCAACCACAAATCTTGAAGGAAACCCGTAGGAGTTAAATATATAAAATGGGTTATAGATGCACCCACCTGCCCAGCGTGTCATTCTGCTTTATCTCGCACTTCTTTGCAAAATCGTCGGTTACTGCGGCCATTCTCTGTTCCCGTTCCCTTTGGCTACCTTTGGCATACTGACAACACAACCAGCGCCATGCTGGCAACTTATTTTTAATTGAACGACAATTCTTTATTTATTTCTTGGTCAATGATTCCCCCACCCAGCCAAACGTTGAACCATGTCGCCGGTACACAATGTAAAAGTGGCAACAACTGAAGGGAGCGCATTGTGTTCGCTTCCCTTCGACTAATCAAATTTGTTTTAAATTTAAAATCGCCACAGCAGTGGCACAAAGCGGATACAAGATGCCTAACGTGGGTATATTATCTGCCGTATTTCTTCAAATCGGACTCAATCCGCTCCAGCTCCATCGAAATCCGGTCCGCAAGATAGCCTTCTGCTGAGTTTTCCGGCTCAAAACGAAGTAGTTCCATTGCTTCCGTGGCCACCAGACTTGCGGTCCTTAAATGAGCCTGTAAAATACACGCATTTAATAATTTCAATTTTAAAAGCGGCATATACTTGAATTCAATTTTAAAATTTATTTAATATACTCACCACATATTCCTTTTTGTTCAGATCACTTTCGGCAAATTGTAATTCCACCAGCTCCACCAAGGCCAGCAAATACTCAAACAGACCAATGGCATACAGCTTGGAGATGCCTGGAACCACAGCCCGACAGACGGGCAGTAAATCGGAGCAGAGTTCCACCCGGCGGGCGAGAAGTTTCTTGCACGGCTGGTCCATGGAGTTCATTAGGGCAGCCGCTCGCAGAATACTGGCAATGTTCTGCTTGATATCCAGCAGCATGAAATGGTTGGGATGGAGCAGTGGCCCGTACTGGGTCAGCAGAGCTTCATAGACCTGTAGGTCACCCATGGCGTCTACTAAAGCTGATCCCACTTCGGCCTGTAGTTCGTGGACTTCGGCCGCGGTTAGCAGAGCTCTACAATCCGGGCAGCGCCAGTCTCCCAGTTTTCCATTTAAATCAATCTCGCAAACTGAGAATCCGCCGCACTCCTTACACTTTATGCTGCTCATGTGGGTGCCCATCTCAGTCGGATCCAGACAGCGCGAGCAGGAACACTCCAGTCTCCTACTTAGACGCAGTTGGTGTTGTCTCTGACTGGTGCCCATCAACGGATTGGTGTACGAGTTGTAGATAATGTCACCAGGCTGCAGGGGAACCGCCGCATATAGCTTCATATTGAACTGTTCATCCAAGGCCACCACCGTGTTCGGAACACAGTGATGCGGTAAAGTAGCACCCCAAACGAAAACTCCCTTCAAGGTATCCCCATCCTTGGCGGTCACCTCGAAGGAATTACTGTCGATACGTATGCAGTGAGCATGAAGTACATCCGAAGTTAACTGCTGAGTGGGTAGAACATCCACTAGTCCACTCTCCATTAGCGGACGCACCACTAGCTCCTCGTGCTCTTGCCACATTCCTTCTCCGTCGCGGTAATCACTCAGATTTATAGGAACATCAATGAGCATTTGGCAATCTGCTTGCGTATTGGGATTCTCCAGCAAAAGGAGGAGCTTTAGAAGCCCACATATGCCAAAGTTCTTCACAAGAATATCCTTGCAGAGCGCTTTTCCCGCCCCACTGGCGAAAAACTCGCACTCGAACTCATCATGCTGGCTGCAATCCATGCAAAGTGGAAATACCTGACACCTTCGGCATATCACATAGGATTCCTGAAGGCATTGGGCGCACTTTAGCTGATGGCATTCCCAGTGCGGGGCTACCAGCAAGGGTCGCTCCTCCAATACAGTTTCTCCCGGTTCGATGCTTATACTAGCCACCAGATGCCTGCACAGAAATATAAGTTAATTATTGCTTTGGAAAGCTATTTGAACATACCTGCCCAGCTTCTCATCGTGAGCCTGCTGAATATTTTCGCCAAATTCCTGCATCGATTACGTCTGTTGCCTGGCGAGAAGTGATTTAGTGACTGTGCCAACGATTCGTTTACTCTCCTAAAACGCACTGAGCAATTATAAATATACTCTGCAGTGCTGCTGGTTGAGGAATATCCCTCTTTTTCAGAAGCCCTGTCGTATTGCTAAGTACTTTTGCTAATTGCGTGCGTAGCTCGAACGAGATGTTGATTTATTTATAGAATCACTCGTTTGGAGGAGGTGATGCCGCACTAAGGTGTCTACTTTTTACTTTGTTTTCCCTTTACGGAAAATTATGTATATGAACATTTTTGTTAATCTTCTCAATAACTATGTTGTTTATTGTTCTTTATAAATGTATCAAACATTGTGTGTTTATCTGATATTTTTTAAGTCGATAATATGCATATATATATGTATTTAATTAGTTATACGAGGGGACAATGTTAGACTTAATTTAAAGTGTTATCGGCTCTTGTGGAATACATTATATTTTAAGAAAACAAATGAAGCTACATTAACAGTAGTAAAAGGCATGCTCTAAGAAAGGCTACTCGTAAAACATAGACGCCGCCAATTCAATTGGTCAAATGCGTGCGGGAAAAACAAGAACAAATATGTATTTTATACAAAAAAAGTAAACAAGTTTCCTATTCCTCATCCTCAGTGCTAGTAATCCTGATGGCTTCCGCTGTCTGTGCCTGGCCGCTGGCGCTAGGTGAGACCGTGGGAATCGGCGTAGGCGTTGGCGTCAGCGAACTGTTGGAAATGGCGTCAATATCATCGTCAAACTCTACATCCTCAGCATGCATCAGCTTCTTAAGATCGAACGGAGTTTCCTGAGGAAAGGCACAGTGTCAACATTTCTGATATATTTGGTTTGAAATTTCGAGTTATTACCTTTACTTCATCCACTCGCTGTCGATCATGCAGTGCACTTAAAAGCTCACGAAGGTGTTGATTTTCTTTACGCAAACGCTCCCTTTCCATATCGCGCTCGTTAATTTTTGGCTGTTATTAGGTAAAGAGAAGTTACAGAGTTTATCTCAAACTAAACAAAATGAAAACCCACCAAAAGCATGGAAATCTGCTCATTCAGTACTGTTACAATGCTGCTGAGTGCATGGCAGGGCACACTCGGCTCCAGCACACTGGCGTGCTGAATGCGATTCGGCCCACAGGTGCTGCTCGATCCTCCAGTTAACTTATCCGTCTCCCTTGGCGCTTCAGTTGGTGATGTTTGTGTGGAGCTATCGACCCTGGATACCTCGTCTTGTTCGATCTGGAGTGGATAATTATTTAAAAGATTACTTATAACAAATAATATATATTTTTTTTATTTACGGTTTGCTCGTTATTTTCCTTTTTGTCAGCTACAGATTTGTTGGCTGTTTCAGCCGATTTTATCTCGCGGCTCTGGGTTGGTAAGTCATCCACCGATGCTGTTGTCGCAGCTTCATTCTTAGAGGTCGTTGGAACTGTCATTTCCTTTGTGATATCCGTCTCCACACTTTGCATCTCTTCATTACATGATTCACTAAGCTTATCTGACGGAACAGTTTTCGCATCATCATCTTCAGCCTTGTTCTCCGTCGTAACGCCCTCGAGTTGTTCCTGTTCCAGTAATTTCTCAGGATCGGCATCAGTGGTTTGACGTTTCGAGGAATCTATGACAACAGATTGTGAAGTATTTGGCTCAGTTTTGAACGGAGCCAGTGGCGTTGTGGGCCGTTCATGTGGCTTGGACGGAATCGCCGGCAAGCGCAGTTCGTCTATCTCACAGTATCCGTCATCGTCTTCGTGTATGGCAACTTCGTCAAGATCAAGGGTTTGTAGTTTTGGCATCAGCCGCGATGGCGGTATCTGGGCCTGAGCCTGGGCATGCTGCCTATTGGGGGGCGGCAGCGGTGGTGGTGATGAGGAAAACGATGAGGATGGTGCCACCTTTTTACGAAGCTTTTCCTTTTCATGACAATGGCCACAAACCACCGTGGACACCGCTGAAACCTCCTGCTCAGGCGTCACGTGCATGTACTCGTTCAGCATCTTGGTCAGGGTTTGAATCTGATCGTAAGCAGCTAAAGCTATATCTGCACTGTCTTTCGGCGCCTCTGGCATCATGGCAATGTCCACAATCTGGTCGTAGTGTTCCACAGGCAAACGGAAGATATCACAAATGATTTTCTGCTTCTCCAGCAAATCATTCCGAATAGAGGCATCCAAGCGGCGTAGCTTCTCTCCTGGAGTCAACACAGGTTCCGCCGTGTGGGCTGGACTAATGCTGACCTGAATGGCCGTGGGGTCCACCAAGGGGCTTTGCATCAACAGGGTGCGCGTGTTGTTCGAGTTGTTCGAGCAGACAATGCTGGCACTGTCGCGTTTGGAGTTACCTCCAACCATACCGTAGGTGGAGTTTCTCTCCTCACCGGTTGAACCCGGTCTAACTGATTCTCTAGTCGACTGAGAGTGGCGTAAAGTAACGTCGTTTGCTTCAGTCCCATTCGCAGGATACTTCTGAATGGGCTCCCCAGTGCTCCTTATGGACATAGAGCGATTAACTTCATTTTGGCTCGAATGCGGCTTTGGTGTGTTTACATAATCCGCATCAGATTCACTTGCTGTCGCATCCCGCTGAGGGTTTCGCAGCTGAATTCCAGTAATAGAGCTAACGTTACTATTATTGGTCGCTGGAGCCGGTGTAACCGTGGCTATAGGCAACATTGGGGCCAAGGGAGTGGTAGTCAATGTGGCTGTCGCAGTCAATGGCTGTACTGTATCGGTGCTCAACTCCAACGACTCTTTGGTGTTGGAATGCGGAATAGCGGCGAGAGCTGGATCACTAATACTCGTGTCATGGTTGCTCGAGACGTTCTTCGAACGATTTTTAGACTGGCGCGCAGCCACATCCGAGAAGTGCTTGAACCATCTGCGAAATAACATTTAAGAATTAAGAAGTGACTGACTGATGGAATGCAGAAATTTCTCACGTCTTGCACTCCGAGCTACTGGGCGCGCGTAGCTCCAACATTTGTGATGTCTTCATTTTGATGATGAAAAAGGAATTTTTGTCAGCCGCCTCCTGCCGGATCAAAGTTTCCGCATCGATGCTCATTATGGGACTGACTG